CAACCCACATTAGCCTTCTGCTATCCAAATGTCTAAACATCTGGAGCCCCATATTGAGGTATCTCACCCATAAAAGTTAAATGTATATGATGGTAGTACAGGAAATTCTTCCACCTATGAATTTTCTGTACATGGTAGAATTAAACCCGGAGTCAGCTACATTACTAAATATTGCTGTTAGCCCTTTATTTTGCAGTTGGTCCATATATATTTTTTTTTCTTTTCACATGTGTTAGGGGGACCCAAGGAGGTTTCCCCTGGGACTACAGACTGAGAAATCCAGATGAGGACATCCTCTTCCCAGGGAGAAAATAAAGTTAAGAATTAGAAGGGAGAAAAGGGTATACAGGTCTGGCCCAGGTATCTTGGAGAAAAAAACATCAATTCAGATGTTGTCTACTTCAAATTCTAGATATTTTAAGACAATTTCTAATTTTAATTTGTTTAATTTGTTGATAGTTTCTTTAGATGAGATACATGTATCCAGGAATCAGTTTCTTTAAGCTTAGCAGTGAAGATTTTTTTTTAACAAATGTGATAGTGAGCCTTTGCAGTGAAGTTGGAGGGAGTCTTTTCCAGTAGACAAAATACCATGATCGTAGGTTATAATGTTCTAGTTCTTTGTCCCCTGGGATTACACTTTGGAAAGACTGTTCTACCAGAGTATGATTTTTATCTGTAGTCTTAATTATAACTTTACAATTTTAAAGCATTTTACCTTCTATTAATTTGGGGTCAAAAGAAGTTGGGGACAGATGCACAGGGAGTGCAGTAACTATCTAAATTAGTGAGAGCTTATGTAATCAAAGGAAGTAGTATCCAAATTCAAATTCACTGTATGTAGGGCTTTTGGCCATGGCAGGTGTAACATTCCCATAAACTTTTCAAACTGATTCTTAAGAGTGCTATTGTTACGTTCAGCTAGTCTAGAGGACTGAGGATAATTAACACAATGAAAGTTCTCTAAGATTGGCCAGAAACCACACTCTTGCTTGATAACTTGACTGGTAAAATTAGTTTCTCAGTGACTGTGGAGCTTAAGGGGTAATACTGCAGGTAGAGTTTTTTTTTTTTTTAAATAATAGGGTGTTAGCCATTCCAGAAGTGCTGGCTTATCTTCAGGGAAAGGTTTCAACCCAATGGGAAAACATATAGATCAAAACTAAAATATAATTTTGTTAATATGAGGGAGGTCGCTGAACAAAGTCCACCTGCTAATTCTCGAATTGCCCATTAAGGTGGTTAAAATGGCCAGGAGCTGTACACACTTGCCTGGGGCTATACACACTTTCTTCATTGAATTTAGGATGAGGGGGGACAGGATAAATAAACATTTTCAACTACGATGTTGACGTCGCCCTATCAGTATTTTTGCATAAAACTAATAATCTTTTCTGTAGTCTAATGACTTAAATAGGTACAGTATTTAATAAAAAAACATTTCACGGTGTCTGGAAGAAAGCTTTTGTTGTTGTTGTTGTTTTTGGCTAAAACCAGAGTTTCTCTTTATCATGAAACCAGCAGCTGTTATTTTTCCAATTTGGGATTTTTGTTTTATTTTCTGTTTTTGACCTTTGTTGCCCAATTCTGTGCATCTTTAGTAATTATTTCAAATTCATCTCTTAGGAATCTTTCTAGTTGGGTCATGACAAAGATTTGATCAGAAGGATCTTTAAGGGCACCATTCTTTGTTGTGTTATTAGTCAGGTAATTTCCTCTGATTCCCATAGCATCTGGTTTAGAATGGCCTAAAAATTTGATAATGGCTAGAGGGTGGATAGCTGTATTACATCTAATAATTCTATTATATACAATCCAATTCTTTATTTTGTCTTCATTGGAAGTAAGGAAACCTCTTTATTTTCATAACATTCCAAAGTCATGAGCAATTCCTAAGGACTACCAACTGTCTGTGTAATCATTAACAGTCTTTCTCAGCAAGGAAACAGCCTTGAGTGGGGGCAATTAGCTCTGCCTGCTGGGCTGAAGAGGCTAAAGATAAAAAAGCTGCTTTCACCACCTCAAAAGCATTAGTGGTTAAAGAGCCTGCATGATACTTGCCACATTCATTTTGTAAATATGAGCCATCCGTAAACCAGGACAACTAAGCATTTCCTAGGAGGCTGTCTTGGAGATTGTCCCGAGTTCTATCAGAGTTAAGCAGTCATGTGGTGCCTCACTTGAAGGATATGGCACAAGAGTTACAGAGTTAAGGTTATTGCAACATGAGAGATATAAGGAGTAGTAAGTAGGAGAAGTTCATAAGAAGTAAATCAGCTAGCAAAGCATGCTATATTAGTCTGTTCTCACGCTACTAATAAAGACATACCCACAACTGGGAATTTTATAAAGGAAAGAGGTTTAATGGACTCACAGTTTCATGTGGCTGTGGAGGCCTCATAATCATGGCAGAAAGCAAAGGAGAAGCAGAGCCATGTCTTACATGGTGGCAGGCAAGAGAGCTTGTGCGGGAGAACTCTCATTTATAAAACCATCAGATCTCGTGAGACATATTCACTACAACAAGAACGGTATGAGGGAAATTGTCTCCATGATTCAATTATCTCCACCTGGCCCCACCCTTGACATGTGGGGATTATTACAATTCAATGTGAGATTTGGGTGGGGACACAGCCAAAGCATATCAGATGCTGAGTGAGATGTGAGTTTAAGATAGCTTACTAGAGAGTGATGTTAGTTCCCACACTTTGGGTTGAGATTCCCAATGTGTTTCCTTTCTTTATGTATACAAAGAGGAAACAAAGTTAATTTATAATTAAGATGCCCTGGAACTGAAAAATGTACCAATTTCTCCTTGGGTTTAAAAACTTACTTTTCAGATTTTGCCCCTAAAGAGACAGATATTTGATTCAGCAGTGATGGGTGGCATTATTTTTTGGTTTTTGAACAGGGAATGACATAACAAATGAGGAAATTTGGGAAGTCAGAAGACTCCAAGGTTGAGTCAGCAAAGTTTGCTTGTCAAATTCTAAAATTATTTCCCTGTTATGAGGGAAAAAAAGTTTTAACATAGTATTTTTCTTGAAAATCGAGCCCACGGAGGAGGTAGATAGGGAAGAATTAACAAGTAAAAAAGGGGCAGGTGTCTTGGAGAGGACAAGATAGAAAGGGATGGGCTGTGAAACAAAAACAGCTAAAAGCTTGGAAACTCCCATATGTATCTTTTTATTAGCTCAAGGCATGGGCTGATTGGGGCTGGTGGGGTTAAGAACTGATACTCTTGTTCCAGTGTCTGTAAGCACAAATACCTCATTCCCAACTCAGAGAATGGTTTCACCCAGATGACTGAGAGAACTGGGAAGAGCCTCTGTAGTCCTTGGTGCCTGTTCATTGAGAGTGGTCTCCAAGTGGGGAAGAAGGGTTGGGTAGCTGGGAAATATAGACAATACTTTTTGAGGAGTAGTAAATTACTAGGGAGAATAAATGTGAGGTGGGAGAATAAATGTGAGGTAGGAGACTGGCAGAACTTGTTTTCTGGTCACAATCTTGCTGACCAAAACAGGATCTATTCCAGACAGGATAAAGAGAAGAAACTGGCAGGAACCAGTGGATGGAGATGAAGTGATCCTTAGCTGCTCTCATTCCTCATTGACATAAGACACTCCCACCAGCACCATGACAGTTTAAAAATGCCATGGCAATGTACCCAGGCATTACCACCCCTTTTAAGGCAACAACCCTGAAGTTACTGCCCCTTTCCAAGAATGTTCTAAATAGTCAGCCCCTCAGTTTGCATTGACATACCCTTAATTTGCATGTAATTGAAAGTAGGCTTTCCTGAGTATAAATAGAGTTGCCAAGAGACCATACATTGTTCATTCTGGGCACACGGCCTGTGAGGTAACCTTGCTCCACAAGGAGCAGTACCATTTAATAAAAATTGCTGTCTAATATCATCAACTCACTCTCGAATTCGTTCCTGGGCAAAATGAAGAAACCTCCCAGACTAAGCCCTAATTTGAAGGCTTGCCTCTCCTGCATCAGATGAACCTGGGACATGGGAGGCAGTCATTAAGAGAAGGTGAAAGGTGAAGTTTCACAAGGAAAAAAGGCTATTTTATTATGTAGATAAAGTACCCCAGGTAATCTCTTGGAGCTGCCCTTAGAAAAATAGATTTAAAAGTCTGGGTGTGGTAACAAATTCTAGTCTTTTCTCTTCTACAGTGGTTGATCTTTCCTTGTTATTTGATGAGATCTCTAGGAAGAGGACTTGAGGCAATTGCATTTCTTTTGGAAAGAATCTTTCTTGACCAGAGAAAAAAATTCCAAAGGGAGACCCTTTCTGAGTTTGGTGTGAACCAGGTGAGATTAGACCTTGGTTCTAAGGCTGCCGCTAAGGCCTTTGGGCATCTTAAAGCACCAGTCTTTAGGGTTACCACTTTGTGAAACCCAACAGAATCACATAGTATGTAATCTTTTGAGACTGGCTTTTTTTTTCCACTTAGCAGAATTTGCTGTATATTTATTAAAGTTGATGAGAAAGAGATTTTCTGGCTTTTCTGGCACTCTCTTTTCCGGTGGCCTGGCTTCTTACGGTAGTAGCCTGGCCCAGGACGTTTCTTGCTAGTGGTATGTCTGGGAAGCACCATCTGCTGTAATAGGAGATTTAAAACGTGAGTGGTTTTTTCTGTATTAGTGTCCTCAAGGATGCCAGCTAGCTAATTTGCCAAATTATCTGGATCAGAAGTAGGTATAGTTTTCCATTCTATCCAGGTTCTTTTGACAAGTGGAGAGAGTTCTCCAGAAAGGAGAAGTGTAATTCTGCTCATAAACAGAATTAAAGTCTACTTGAATAGATTCAACATCTATAAGTAATTCATAATTTTATCTAAATATAACCTGGATTTGATAGCATTTTTTAAAACACGGCCTAGAGTACAACTGTAATGGCTGGAAAGTGGCTCATTAGGTTCTTAAACATGGGAATGGATTTTATTGCAATCTAAAGTTTTAGGAATAGCCTCAAGAATGGCCTCATGGAGGTTTTTGCTATGCCTTCAGTTCTATCACAGTCTATTAGAGGTGCTTTTGTCTGACTCTCCCTCAGGATAACAACAACAAGCCTTGGTCATTCAGCATGGTGCCTGACCTTCACCAAGTATGTGAATCAACTGGTGTAGGTCAGAAAACCTGAGGTTGATAGGCCTGACTCACTATGCTGAGTTAATCAGGAAATTGAGGAGGGCCCTCAGTGATCTGTGGAAATTCCTTGGCAATAACTTGAAGTTCAGCTTGCATAAAAGAAAAATGGGAATTTGAGATTTAGAAGAATTATCAGTGAGTTTAACTTTAAAATGTCAGGTTTTAGCAGATCAAAGACAGATAGAGAGGAAGAACAGAGGAAAGAGGAGAGGTCTCTTCTAGAGAGGACAGAGTCTGGACCTAATAACTGCCTTAACTCTTTCTCTGTCTCAGTTAATTTTGAGATAACATGTTACTACTATAATAATTTACACATGAGATAACAAAGGCCCAGATTGTTTTTCGTGTTTGTCATTATTGTTGATTTTTTATTTAACAAATATCCCAGACTAGTTAAATGACAGAAAATAGAACTAGAACTAATGACTTCTTATTTTAAGTTCTCTGTGTGTGTGTGTGTGTGTGTGTGTGTGTGTGTGTGTTTTGAATGATACCTTGCTTCCTTATAAAAGGACAGAGACACATTGTCTTTGTCGTAATTTTAGAGTAGTCCAATATTCATGACAACCAACCAACAGGTAACTCAGATTAATTCAGTTTAGTTTGGGCTCTTTTTGAATAGTAGAATTCCTTTCAGTATTTCTACAGTGTCTCTGTGTGTTTTGTTTTCAATTGTGCTCAAATGGGTCAACCTCTATTTTCATAATTATTAAATTCATACCTCAAGCAGAGAGATTAAAATAATTAAAAGCACCTATGAAGTCTTAAGTTCATAAATCACTTCTGACACCGTGATTATGTACATAAGAGACTACTGCCAAATTAAATCCCTACGTCTCCATGTTTCTGTCTGAAATTCCTTTGTCTAGTATTAAGGAATTAAGAACAAGAACAACTTCTACAATACTTCCTAAAAAAAAATCCCCAGAAAAAACGTCTACTTTAAACAGGGTTACTATCATTACAGATGCTTTTATTTTTTAAAAATAGAAAAACTAGAAACTGAGCTACCTATACAGCTTATTTTAATTGAATGTTTATTTTTCTTTCTATTCAGTTTCCTGGTGACCAATTGAATTGTCAGAGGAAGGCATTTTATGAACAGAGTGCTTATTTATCTCAGATAAAAGGGACTATTCAAGCAGACAACAGAAATAAATAATGCTTGATGAATTCTATCTACTGAACTAATTCTCATTTAGTGGTAACTCTATGGTCTACAAAAATGAAAATTATTGTAGAAGTTAGTTGATATATTACTGTATTGCTTCTATTCATTGTTGCTGAACTATGGAAAGTACTGAAATGAATGCACATTTGTGGAATACAAAATGCAAATGAACCTAATTTGGAACTAGGATAAACAAATTGGAGAGAGTTAATTGCTTTTTTTAATGTAGCATGGTTGGCTTAGGACTTCGTACTCAAAGACATACTATAGCCTAGAACTTTTATGTATTTTTAAAAAGTCTATACTCTAGAGTTTTGGCGGAAGAAGTAGAGTAATTTGGGTGCTAGTATGGGCCTTCTATTTTGATGACTAAACTCCCAAAGCTCACAATGTGGGTATCACCACAGTCCATGGTTTGGACTTCAACCTTTTAGGCATCAGGTTGCACTTTTACAATTATTTGGAGTTAACAAGACTTAAGAAATTGAACAAATAATTATCTCTAGAAGAGTTAAAGTTAAAAGAAAAGATTACATATTTCTATGGACTGACTTGTGTTCTCTCAAAATTCGTATGTTGAAACCCAGATCACAAATACCTCAAAATGTGACTGTATTTGGACACAGGTCTTTAAAGAGGTGATTAATTTAGAATTAAGCTCTTTCGGTGAAGCCCTGATCCAATACGTTTGATGCCCTCATAGAAAGATAAGACACTGGCGGCACTGGAGCACAGAGGGAGAACATGTAAGGATACACAATGAGAAGGTGCCCATCTGCAAGCCAAGGAGAGCGGTCTGATAAGAAACCAACGCTGTTGGCACCTTGATCTTGGGCTTGTTACCTCTGGAACTGTGAACAAATATATTTCTTTTTTTTCTTTTTTTCTTTTTTTTGTAGACATAGAGTCTTACTTTGTTGCCCAGGCTAGAGTGCAATGGCATGATCTTAGCTCACTGCAATCTCTGCCTCCCAGGTTCAAGCAATTATCCGGCCTCGGCCTCCAGAGTAGCTGAGATTACAGGCACATGCCACCATGCCTGGTTAATTTCTTTTGTGTTTTAGTAGAGATGGAGTTTCACTGTGTTGCCCAGGCGGAAACTCCTGAGCTCAGTCAATTTGCCCACCTTGGCTTCCTAAAGTGCATGTTTCTGTTTTTAAAGCCACCCAGCCTGTGACATTTTTTTATGGCAGCCCTAGAAAACTAATACATGCACAAATTGTTATAAAATGAGATTATATGTATAAAATGGAACAGATCATATATCTTCTCACCAGCACATTTTTTTCTGTAAAAGAAATTTACACAGGCACCAAGAAAATAATTAGACAACAGATTCTTAGTTATGTAGTTAAATAATTAAGTTTTTTAAAATTTTTAATTATTTGAACCAGGAGAGCTCAGTTTGAAGCTCACCAATTGAAGTCCAATAGCAGACGCAAGTCCGTGATGTTATTTGGAGAAAAGACAATACTAAAAATGTAAAAACACATTGTCTTGCTAAATATACTCAAGGAACTGTAGCATCATCTCAATATTAGCATCTGTCTTTCATTTAGTGTATATGTTTTTGTGGGCATGAGTTTGGATGTGGGTGAGAATGGGCTGTAGTAAATTTCCAAATACTTTTTAACAGGGCAAATAGAAGAATCTTCTGCTGGCCTCCCCCTTGTCTAGTTTATTTGTTCTTGTGTATCAGGAGTTCCTTTGGATCCAAGCAAAAATGTTCCAACTAACAATAATTAAACTTATAGTAGTTTAGTTTTCCATGTAACAGATGCTCATCCTAAACTTAGGATGCTTTTTTATCCTAAACTGATAAGTTTGCATTCAAATGATTCTAATATGATTCATTTTCTTTTTCTAGGCATAAAAATCAGGGAAAGACTAATAATAAAAGGCTTTTTAATAACATATCTTATATAAAGGCACTCTCTTACTAAGCAATTCCACATATATCCCATTGTTCTTAATTGTGTCACATGGTGACCCTCATTTGGAAGATTTTCAGCCTCAGTAAAAGAAGAAGGTAAGAGGAAAATGGTTGTTGAGGGCTTAAAATAGCCAACGGACAGACTGTGTCAGCCAACCCATGAAAGGAAAGAGCCTGTAAAGCTCTATCTAACACATTTAATCTTCCCAGGAGAGACGTTTTTGCTAATGGGACCAGTTGAATTCTATGCTTAGAATAAACTCTTCTTGAAATTATCTCTGTGGTTGCAATTTGCTTTATATCTAACAAGTAGCTTTCTTCGATTTTTTTTTGATAAGCTCTTTCTTGCATCTCTTCAGATCCATGTTTTCTATCTTTAAATACATAAATATATTTAATTAGGTTGAAGTAAAATATTACTAGGGTAAGAAGCCATTTTGCTTTGTTAAATTTGAGTTCCATTATTGCTACTGAGACTCATTCTGTGTTGAGTTAGGGTAACTGTCCTAAGCCTCTCTAAGTGAGAAGATCACTTATACACTGTGAAGTGGGTAACAATTCACCTACTTGCAATCTAACAAGTCAGCCTGACACAGTTTTAAGGATGCTGCAAAATAAACAAAACCACTGGGTTAGAGACAGTCTATTTCTGACAACGAAAGCAGCAGCCAGAGTACCAGCACTGTTTTACACTGGATTCTCAAGTACCAGTTTCCAGGTAGTGACACAAAGAGGGACAGGGAATACTTAGGCATGAGGTGGGTTTGTTATAGATAAGAAACTCTGAGCTTTGGAAACTGGACTCTTTCATAATAGTCAGGAAGCATGACTGTGCTTTGCTCTGGATGGAGTCACTATATCTTTCAAGGTGATTTGCAATATAAACATCTGTGAAAAGATAATCCAACACAAAGGGTACTTAGAACCATGCTCCCAAGACTTGCAGATATATGGATAAATGTAGCTTAATTTAATGAGACCATCTCCTTTGAACTAAACTTTTTAAAGGTGATGTGGGGAAGAGAGAATAAATGGAAAGAAGAGACTCCTAAATACTAGAACACCAATAAAATTAATTACGTACTTCTTAATGTTCATGAATATATTTTTAATCGCTTAAGAACAGAAGAAAAATATCTCTTCAGAAAAAATAAAATTTACAAAATGTCTAAAGATATTTTTTCCATAACTCGTATCCTTGATTTAATGTACAAATATCTAATTTTGTAATAGAATAATTATATTTGCCGTTTTATAGTCCAATGAGAGGATAAGCTAAATAGAACTCTACAAATAGCTGCATGTAATAAACACTGTATAACAGAATCTCATATGTAATTACTATGTACCTGAAAATAAAAATATTTAAATACAAGACTGTGCCCTTACTAGAATGATAAAGGCAAAATATCATGATTTTTTATAGATATATTTGAATTAAATTCCTTCTTTGAAGAATATATATTTTTTTAATTTACTTAAATTTTTGAATACTAGTTGAGTGTATGGAGTAAAACTACTTAGGTAGAAAAGACAATTCTCTTTGATTTGGTTGCAGTATACACAATAGACATAAGCTATATTCTATCTTATCCATTATATGTTATATGCCGTATGATACATGATATATTATGTATATTACTCCATATTTACAGCAGGCACCAGTCTTTTTTACTGGTCTTGAAGCAAATTGCTATGACTATCTATAGAGAAAGTCACGTGGCAAGTAACTACTGATGTCCTCTTTGTTACAAGAGGAACTTCCAACCTACAGCCAGTAAGAAGCTGGAGCTTTCATTTATACAGCTACAGGAAGTCAGAACAGATCCTCTCTACATGAAACTCCAGCAGAGAGG